CTATCCCAGCTGGACCCAGGACACTAGTTATTCATTCAAAAATGTTAGGACCAGTTATCATATCAGTGTAGGTTCAAACCCTTATGAGCCACTGACTAAAAACGTGCTTAAAGGTGACAATGTGCTTTCTAACAGAGATCACCAGGAAATTAGATTGCATTGATTTGGGAAATCAGTTTGTGAGAAGAGAAATTCACTGCTGGAGGTTTACTGCCTCCTCTACTGATGGAGTTTGTTCCCTTGGAAATACCGGGCTCTGAATTTTTCTTGACATAGGCCTTGCTTTTTCACAATTTTCTCTGTCACACAAGCTAATACATCTCTTTGTTTTCCCTGTGCCAGACATTCCCTAGAGCTTGGCTAAAAAGTACTAGAGGTTCTCTGTTTATTAGGTTTGAAATAGTAGTGATTTCTCTGGGAAAAAATTAATCTGTAAAGTGATCAAATGGAGACAGATAATAGTGACCATAGTTCTCATCTAATTAAAATTCCTTATATAACCTTTACCACTGACTTTTCCAAGTAATGAGACAACCTTTACTACTTCAGTCTTTATGGCAAAGAAAGGAAACCAATTTATTAAACCTTTAGCTAAAAAAGAGTTGGACTAAGCTTCTCCATTGTATGTCCCGTCTCCTAGGGTGAGGGGTCTTAGCGTGCACAAACTGGTAATTACAGCAGATTCAGCATAATTCAGATGCTTTAGCATCTCATTGCATTGTAAACTTTGTGCAGTGCATTCCATGTATTAGTTTTCAATGCATCTGTGGATAGACAAGATCAATCTCCTCTTAGTAGTGAGAACTGCCTTATTAATTTCAATATTTCAACCCAACCCTTATTCTGAAGTCTGTACAAGCCCTGTACAGATCTACAAGTTATTGCACTATTTAACAGGGAAAACAATCAAACCTGAGACTGCAAATGTATAAAAGGATCTGAATTTTCCATCAAGTAATGGCATTTTTCATTTATATTCTTCTCTTTATTTCTCTTCTAAACTCTTGTCTAGGGCTTCAGTCATAAGCTGTTTTGGTTGGTGTGTTCAGAGGGACCATAAGGACAGAACTTTTTCTGCTCCTGTGGATCTGGTTAAAACCCAAGACAAATTAAACAAATACAGAAGAACAGTCTGACACATAATTAGAAGCTGCTAGGGATTGCTAGGCTTTAGGCCAAGACTGAGTACTAAAACCACCTCAGGAGCACTAAGATATTGCAGTGGCTCTGGATTGTTCTAGAGGCGAGATTTTCTAATTATTACATTTTATTATAGAAGCAACAAATTACAGCTGTGGATCAAGGCCCCAATTCCACTGATCACTATGTACTGTGTTCGATTTGAATTTAATTTCAGTGCCACCTTCTTGACCGCCCTTACTCAGGCTAAGTTGCATTACTGAATGTTTACACATTGATAAAAATCTTTTAAAGGTGAGTATATGTCAGTGGATGACATTGGCTGTGGTATAGTTATATTTCAGCCTTTTAAATTCAATGAGTGTCTTCTGAGTAACTGCTACATTTAATTTAACGGCTCCTTTGTCATTGCAGATAATGATAGGAGAAGGAATTCTCTACTGTTGCCTGTCCAAAAGAAGAAATGGGATTGGAACAGAGGCCAATATTAATGCAGGAGGATGCAACTTCAATTCTTTTCTTAGAAGAGCTGTCAGATTTGTTGGTGGGTTTCAAATGTTAGTCAAAAAGAGCTTTCCATATACATTCACTTTTCACCATGTAGGTTTCCTTCTCTGAAACAGCCCTTCAGAACAGTGCAGGGCTGTTGCTGGCATAGATATTTTTCTGCCAGAAAATGGGAGAAGAAACTGTCAGACGGAGCAACAGAACAGCCCCCATACTCAGTAGTGCAGCATCTACCCTCTATTTTCCCCTTCCTCTCCTATACTATTGTCAGTGTTTCTAAATAATAATTTGTTTTTCCTTCTCTGCCCACCTTGAGCTGGCTTCCTTGCAGTGGTTTCAGTGTAAAGTTTCCCCTGCCTGTCTTCAGTGCATCATAAGGATTCAACTCACCTGACAGTATTCAGCATGACAGTATAAACTTGTCAGAAACTGTCAGTAGATTTGACATTCTTGTTCTGGGATGTGTTTATCTACCTCTTGAAAAAGGACTAGAATCTGGCAACCTAATGATAGAGAGGAATATGTTGAATTGTTTTATTTGACTTTAATTGTCATTTGTTGAAAACTGAACTTGAAAAGGCAAATGGACTTTGTTCCTCTTCTTGCAGTTAATTTCCTCTACCAATGAGGGGATAAACGAAAGGTTTTCTCTGTTCCAGAAGTCTTTCCTTAGAGAGGGCTGCCTAGGCAAAGACAACCTGCAGGACAGCAGACAGAAAACCTGGTAGGATTACTATACACTAGGCTTCTGTAGTCTGGCAAGCAGGGAGGTAATGACAGGAGAGGTTATACAGTCTGTGACCAGTAAAGCATCTTCTTAGGAGCAGCAGTGAGGAAGTGAGCAGAGGGGAGGTAAGTTACAACGTCAGCAAAGAGGACTATAAAGATTCCCCATGCTCTCTACTTCTCCTCCTATATGGCATCCCATTCCATCACCAAAAAAGGCAAGCTCAAAAATGCATGAATTTAATTCTTGATTCATACTCTGAGTTTGCAGTTTCTTTCATATTTTAATGACTTAAGTGTTCTTTCAATTTTAAGATGAAACTAAATTTATTTATATGAATACACATAGGGAATTGGAGGTAAATCTTTAGGGGAAAAGACATTGAAAATGCCCAGTAAAACAACTGCATTTACTGCAACTGCCTTGTGAATTTGGTATTATTAACCAGACAGAAACATTTATCAATTACCAAAAAGACTTAAATATTTGGACTTGTGGCAAGGACTTGGTACTCAACAAATACCAGAGGTGTTAAGGTGGCCAAAGTTATTGCCAGCTGACAAGTCCCTGGTGGTAAAAAGAGAACAGGATCTCAGAGCAGTGATCTAATGGGCAACTGTCCATGTTATTAAAAGCCTGTATCCCAGTGGACAAGTCCAAGGACTGGATGAGCACATATGTTCTCCTCAAATAGATGGCTATCCCTTGTCAGTTCAGAAAACTGCTTTCCAAATTGAAGCAGCTCCATGAAATTCTTATGAAAAGATGTTGGAGGACATCAAGCCATCAAAATGAAATGTTAAGTATCAACAGGAAGAAAACAAGCATAAATAATCTTATTTTTTTACATGAAAGAATTCAACTTTGCAGTCATCTTTCACAAAAAATACATCTTATTCTTCAGTTAAATCCTCTTAAGTCCAATAACACAAGCCACCAGAATTCCATTGAATATATTTTTTCATAATGAATTAATCTAATTTATTCATATAATAAAATTAATAAGCTCTGTTGATTTCTTTCCTAGGTGTTCATGTATTTGGTCTTTGTTCTACTGCTCTTGTTACTGATATTATACAGCTATCAACAGGATATCAGGCACCGTATTTCCTGACTGTTTGCAAGCCTAACTATACATCCTTAAATGTATCCTGCTCAGAGAATTCGTATGTTGTGGAAGATATTTGCTCAGGAGCTGATCTCAATATTATCAATGCTGGAAGGTTGGTTCTGTCCTTCACTGTGTACATCTAAATATTCATTTTATTTTTTATTTTCTGTCCCAGTTTCAAGATTTTTTTTCTAGTTAAAGTCTGAATGTATTTTGTCACGTTTTTATAACAAAGGTGAGAGCATGAGTGTCTTTTTAGTGGTGTTCAATTTTCTGTATAAAGATATTGGGCCAACAGTGGGCTTTTGTCAGATTCCGAAGCACAGTCATTAAGAGCTAGTTATTTTTCCTCCTTCAAAGGAGACTATTTCCTATGCAATTAGTAATATGCGTAGCTTCTACTGCTTTTCCCAGTGGGATCTGGGTAGGATCCCCATAACAGGCAGGGGAAGAAGTCACCCAAGTACTTATTTCTGAGACCTCTGTATACTGTGCATTACTGTTCTGGCATTTTGGTCTTAGCTTGTGAAGCTTGATTTGGGATTTGTTGGAGGAGTTTATTTGTTTTCTATTGCTCTAGTTGATGAAGTTGTTTATATTGACAGCATTGAAAAAAATCCCTTTATTAGAGGAAAGACCACAACAGTTCAAATCTGTGTTCCCAAACGCATGCCTTTTCTTTCATGGTATTTCTAACTGGTGGTTTATTCTCCTTGATCCTTTAGTATTTAGCCTTGCTACTTAGGTAGCCAGGAGAGAAATTCATATTGTTTATAATAGCAGGGTTTGGACATGCATATCAGTCAAGATATAACCCAGACTATATATCTTATTTTAAATAAGTTTGACGTGATAAAATAGTGATAATTCAATTACTGATGTCAGGCCATAGAGTTAAGAAATCTGAAGGTGTAAGTCAGTAGGTTGTACTGTTCTAACACATCTGCTACTTGTTAATTCAAGGACTTCATTAGTATGAAGTGTCCTAAATGTATGCACCACACTACTGAGAAATCATGTAGCTCTTCACTGAATACAATAATAGTCTTGTGTGCCTCTTCCACTCCAGGTTAACCTTTCTTGCCTGTTAGTCATTGAATGTTTGAATGTTTTGCAGTCCTTCAAAATTTTGGTGCTTTTTAAAATCTCCTGCTCTCCAAAAAAGTTACAGCAAAATTATCGTATGCTTGAAATGACTACAATTTCTGTCTCTGACTGAGCTGCATATTTTCTGTGTACCTGATGAGCAGACATGAAGCTGTGATACTTCTGTCACATCCACTTCATTAAAGCTGTGCACTCCTTTCTTGTTCTGTATGCAGCCCTAGATGCTAGCTTCTGTTTTAACTTAATGCCTCCTGACATTACATTTTTACCACATGGATATTGTTAAAATGTTCTGTCTATATATTAAGGCATCTGTCCCCCAGTCCATTTGCTTTTCCATTTATTTCAGTGGTCAACACACTTGGGTATCATTAAGTTATTCACTCTGTAAGTATCTTCCAGCGAATCTTATCCTCTGTCTCCTTTCATTGGGACAAACCAATTTCACTGATGTTTAAATATCCTCAATTATTTGATGTATTTGGTCTTAAATATGTCTAGTGGGCTAAGACTCATATTTAGCCTTGATTAATTTACCACATCTTTTCAATTTATATATGTGGACGTGATTCAGAGCTGGAATTAAGGCTTTTAGCTCTTTTTGGCCCAAATAATTTGGTGAAAATAATTTCGGTGAAAGGCATAACCAGAATTACTCTATGAGCCTTCACCTCACAGTCTCTTTTCCCATAACCATTTGCCATTACTGGGATTCTGCCATTGAAGCCTGATGGTTGCAAGCAGTATCTTGCACCTACATGGTCTCCCAGGGAAATTGGTGTAGCTTTACACATGAGCAGGCGGAAAAAATTTTCATTATTACATCTTATTGATTTCATTGTCATCTCCAGTAGGATGCCTGCTGCTCTGAATTGACTGCCTGTAGCCATTCCAAAAACACTGATCGCTCCTAAGTTTAAATATAATCATTTCCAAAAAACAGTGAAATTAGTTGTAACATGCTAAGCCTAACCAATCAGGTTTTCTGTGTTTCTGTTTCTTTAGGAAGATGGCCATATATTGATATCTCAAATGTATTCCCATGGTACAGGATACATTTGGTGATCTATAATATTCTATCAGCACCCTCAGTTTCTCCTAAATTCAATTTTATCGCATTTTTCTTTTATTAAAGTGTTGCTTCCTTATGCCTGTCTCAACTTCACCAAAGTGATCAGCATTTGCTACCGGTTCAATACTTCCTTCAGTCATCTACTGTAGGAGTTATGGTGTAACTTCTCCAGACCAGGAGGTTAATTTGACTTCAGTAATTTCAGCTTGTAGGGGACTTGTTCTTATGAGATTGCTAATGGCCTTCATTTTTTATTTGTACTTCCCAGAAAATTTGGCTGCAGAAATTTGCCTCTAGGCTCCCCTATGAAAAGTATAGAGAACACATAATTATCCAGCTGATTATATGAAATTATTTTCTGCAGCATCCCCAAATATCCAGTGGTTTCCTTTGTCCATCTTTTCCTCTACTTATCTTCAAAGAGCCTTTTCAGTCATTTCTATTCAGATCTCCAGTGAGTTCTCTATCTTCTATCATTTTTGTTGTTCTGACTCAGTATGATGCTCTCTCGCAGTATGACTCTCTCTGGTCATTGTTCCCCCTCTAGACATCCTCATATGTGAGCATTTAGAGCGATGCACTGTCATCTGAGTTTGGGACATGTTTTCTTTGAGACCTTCCTTCACCTTCTCAATACAGAGCCATACAAAAAGGCTACCTATTTTTAGCTTGAATTATTTTCATTTTAGATTAAAAGACAACAAATAGAGGAACAAAAGCAGTGTCACCATTAGAGAGTACACAGTACATTTAGTCTGTAACATGCTGTGCTTGCTCTGAAAGCACGACTAGAAAATAAAGAGAAAATTGACTGTAGCATAGTGACACAACTTATACACTATAAAAATGCCATCAAATTAAGGTTAAATTCTGAGTGGTACTAAAGTTCATAGAATCAAATCTACACGTTAGCTCCACAGAGACGCTAAGTAGATTTATGCTTCCACTAAAACCTGCACAGGGTAAAGAAGTTAATTAGTCATTATAAACATTTACATTGTTTTCACGTCTTTATCCTCCTGTCCTCAATCCTAAACTTGGTCCCCAGGGATACTATTTGTGAAAAGTTTGTTGGGGGGCAGGGGCAGAGTGGAGAAGAAGAGTAATAATTTAGGTCTGTCTTTGAAATGCAAAAGGAATCATGCTGATTTCATCTTGGCCAGAGTCGTGAGCCTGCTGGAGCCCTGGGCTCAAATTCAGGTCAGCAGCCTGGCATTCACACTGAACTACATGCACACATTTAATTGCCAATGAATTATTTAGAACAGACAAGGCAAAATGTGTTGGAAAGAAGTTTAGAAAGTAGATTCTTCTGTTTTGCAGCAAAATGTCTTTGTCTAAAGGCAAATGACTATGTTTCAGTCTTTGCTATTTTAAGCTAGCTAACTCAGGTGCTGTTTGGAAAATGGCTACACGTGGAGCCCAGTTAGGACGGCAAGATCCATCTGGGAAGCTGCATGATTGTTCGAGTATTTATCCCAAGCTGAGTTTTCTCAGGTGAATGTGGCTGCTGTGGCTGCAAGATAGTATACTCTTCTTCACCAAGACAGCCAGCATATTACATTACATGCCCATGCCATTTTAAGGACATAGATGTACAGATATAAAATGATAAACATCTTCACTGTATCTTAGTAACTTCTGGAGCTCAGAAGTCATAAAAGTTTGTCAGGGCTTCTACAAGCTATGAGCTATATGCCCACCACAGAACAGGTGTTACTGAATCTACCTGCAGCTAAGTTTTTCCCTCTACTGTGTAAAAATCTCTCCTTCATGTTCCCATCACTTTTCTTTTGCTTTTAGAGGACTGACATGGGTCTATAAGAAGAATAATGTTAAAATATTAGAGGGCCTCATGCGATGGTTCTATGTACCTGATACTTACACAAAACCTCCTTTTCTTGATCAGAGAAGTAAAAGCTAAGCTGTCACTTTTAATTTTCATATCTGTGGTTTCTGACTCAAGACCCAGTCCACATCATTCATTTTTTAAATGGGAGAAGAAGGCCTTCAGCATTCTTAGGAATAGACCTGATTCAGCCTACTGTCTCACATAGTTTGAACATATTTTCCTTTACCCTCTTGTTTTGGGCTTCAGGAAGGGGCCCGGTAACTGTTAAAATGCCTTTTCCATGTTCTTGTGCTCCATTCACTCCTATCGTGTTACAAAGTGCTGAAATTTTAAAAATAAACCTGAAGACATAGCAAATAAAGATGCAGTTTGCCTCTCTCTGAGAAGAATGTCATCCCCCCCATTATTAGAGCAACAAAGCAGGGACACAAAGATGAGTTCAGTTGCTGATGTTAGGGCCTGATTGTCAAAGTGTATGAGTCCTCACTTTGAAAAGAGTCCAAGTGAAGCCAGTGTGAATAATCATAAGATAAAGGTTCATTAATTAAGTTTTATAATTAGATACTTACTGAAAAGTTATTGTGGAAATTCATTTATAGAAATAAATGCATAGATATTTCTCTCAATCAAGCATTCAGGCTTTAGTTCATTCCCACTGTTCTCTTAGTACACATACTTTTCGTAGTACACAAAAAGAATTTAATGCTAAATATTTACTTCAAAGCAACAGCATTTCATTAACATTGGTCCTTTCTCCAGATTATAGAAAAGAAGTTTAGAAATTAAATGTTGCTAATTGATCGTATATTGCTTAGGAAGTGTAAGCTGAAAATGACTGTACCACTCAGCATTTTTTTCAAGTGAATACTAGCACACTGTATTTGAACTGAGAAGCATAATCTGAGTGTCCTTCCTTGGCAGAAAGTCATTCCCTTCTCAACATGCCACCCTGGCAGCCTTTGCAGCAGTGTACATTTCGGTGAGTAACCAACTCTGTTCATTTTCATTCATATGAGATGAAAGTACATCAATTGCTGTGCATGGTAAAGCGATATGTTGGCTGGATATCCTGAATGGATGTAAGTTCTTATTCTGCCAGTTTGAAAGCGAAATAAAACTGCTAAGAGCTAAAATAAAACCAGCTCTATTAAGAATACAGAAAAAATTCAACTGCTTCCCATCCTTTGTTATAAAGCAACAAAAAGTGTAATGATAAAGTATATTTGATGTCTCATATTATTCACATATAAAATGCCGTGCTTATCTGTCTTAAAGGGTGATACTTTAACTTACCATTCAAATTAACCTTTATGTGTTCTGCCTTTTCTTTATTGCTGTCTTCACTTGACTTGCTGCATTTAATCTTGAGACATTAAGGAACAAACGTTTATGTGATGTAGTTTCATTTGACCTCCATAGAATTGCAGCATCGATGAACCAGCACACTCACTCCCAGAGGCCTCCAAGGTGCTACTGCAAAGCAAGTGAATAAAACCCATCAGTAAATAGCAGGGGATTGCAGGACATGCTGATTTTCCACATCTGACCAATGACATTTCTTCAGTATGGGCTACAATGTTTGTATGAGTGACCAGTTACTGGGAGTTTAAAAAAAAAAAAAAAGTAATTCCATCACTCATGGTATAAAAATCAGAGATAAAAAAACAATAATAACAACCAGTTAAATTAGATAATGGAATTGTGCATGTACTGGGAGCTTGCTAATATTTATTCTGCCCACGGAAAGGCCAAAATTTGGAGTAATACTGATGAACCGCTTCCACTTAATTTTTGTGACCTCCCTGACATCATGGCCCCCAGGCGAGCGATGGCTCTCTGAAGCATCTGGTGGTAGCTTTTGTTAGAACAGGTTATTGCTTTCATTTGGCGTGACATCTGGCTTCTGTATTTCAGCAGCAGTGGCTCCTTAGTCACATTTACAGAACATTTACGCTCTGACTGTGAACAGTATTTAGGCATAAAATCCTTATCCTAATTGATGTCAATAAGAAACACTGCTTGTGTTTTTGGAAATCCATTCCTTGTGATTTCAGATCTTCCTACAGTAAGAGAGCAAATTTTAACAGGACTGTAAAATAAAATTAAACTGATTATTTTCAATATTTCTATATAGTAGTGATGTATGTGTGAAAGAAACATTGAATGCAAGAAATTCATATCCTCATAGGTAAATTTAAGTGTCTTCAACTGCTTCTTCATTCTTTTTTTTTTTTTCTTCAAGATGTACTTCAATTCTACGTTAACAGACTCCTCAAAACTTCTGAAACCACTCTTGGTATTTGCTTTTATCATCTGTGGAATTATATGTGGTCTGACTCGTATCACTCAGTATAAGAATCATCCAGTTGACGTTTACTGTGGCTTTCTCATAGGAGGAGGAATTGCTCTCTATTTGGTAAATATAATATTAATGTAGTTAAGTTTTAGCAAATAAAACTGGTAAGGCTGTAGTAAGAGTACTGGTATTTTTTAAGAAAATCTTTCATCATGGTCACATGCCATAACTAAAAATATAGTCAAAATATGTTGAAGATTATGTTGTTAGAGGTAATCATTTTAAAAATAATCAGGAAAAAGCAAATATATATTTCAATTTAAAGTGCCGTGACAGTGCACAAAGTGGTATATAATCATCTGGCATTGCATACAGAAACAGCTCTGACATTATGTGCTTCATTAAATACTTAAAGATCTTTTCTACTCCACACTTACAAGCATTACACAAGAAACATATTGTATTAATTGGTATTTGTTGCCAGCCTGAGTTTTTATCGCTGACATTAGCTTTCTGATCTCAGAAAAAAATGGTTGAATTAACATGCAGCAACTTAGCTGAGTAAATTGCTGAAAGGGCAAGAACTCAAAGGCAATATTAAACTATTACACCCTTTTGAGTCTTTGGACCTCTTGGGAAAATTATGCAGGGGAAATAGGATGCCCAAGTGAGGTTATTCCTTTGCTCTTCCTCTGTACTAGGTTGAAACAGATGGAGCAACTTGGAAGGGTTCTGTAAAGGAGTATGTAGGATAGGCCTGTTTGTATCTGTCAGTAGGAAGCTCACCAAGTATTTGCTTTTGCTTGCTGCTCTCAGTATGTCACCAACACGACTGTTGCTGCCCTAGCTGTTCAAAACAGCATCAACCCAGGTGCCTGTGAGCAATCAGGAACTTCAGCTGGCAGCATTTTTGCTCCAGTGTGGGCAGGTGAACAGAAGACTCCGACCAGCCAGTGGGATGGTTTTTGACCCCCAAGAAGTCAATGATGAATTTTGGTATAGTACCAAAATAAGTTCATATCCTATCCCCCTTTTTTCTGTGGTAAGATAATCTAAGGTACATGCAGATGGTCTACGAAGATGACTGGGGGAAAAATGGCTTTCACAGTGGCAGATGGAACAGCAACCAGGGTACATAACAGAAACCCCATGAGCTACTAAAGTCAGTTTCTATGATTGCACTGTGAGCAGAAAGGCACTCTGTTGAGAGTATTATTTGAAATTATTAAGCCGTTGTAGACTGTCACAAATGGAACTGTTCTCCAGTGTTTGAAATCCATGAACAACTATGCTCTTTGTTAGGTCTTCTCCATATACTGTTGCATGACAGCATACATCAGAGAGTACATTGTCCTGGATACCACGTAGTCGGTAAATCTGCCCTGAAAACTACACACCAATAAGAGGAAGGGGAGGGGAAATAATGTGAAACTACAAATAACTCTGAAAGGAGTGTAAAGAGCAAGTAACCTAAGTTATTGAGTCAGGCATTTAACCCTTTCAGGGAATATTCTCTCTCAGTAGCGTCTTTTTAAAATGCCTGCATTTTACAGTGAGTCTGCTGAATAAGAAAATGTTGTATAACTAAATCTTGTTACAGTTCTGTGCAGCTCGGAAAGCAATTGATTTGAAGTTGATAAATTGTTCTATCATGTAGATATTGTATTACATGGTTATTATGCAGTAGAAAGGGCAGAATCACAGAGCAAAGAACAACTCAAGCTGTAACAAGATTCAGTAAATCAGAGCAGACAGTAGTGTCGCTGTAAAATAGCTTTGCCCAGAAGACTGCAAACATTAATTTTGTTATTTAAGTAACAAAACATTCTTCAGCTATACCTGTTGCTTTATAAAATGAAGAAAACTGAAGGATGCTAAATATTTTCCTCAGCTATTTATTGCCATGAACTATGTGCCCTAGTTATCCTTCATACATATCTAGCTGTACCAGATTGGGGTCAGAATTTGGAATAAGGATATGCTGGTGAGGAAAGGAAAGTGAGCATACCCTGTTAGTTAAGCTGGACTAATTCTATCACTCAATGTTTATTTAAAGGCAGAAGAATATAATTCAAATACCTTAAAAAGTATCTTTTTTCCCATAACTGATTGTTGATGCTTCTGTTCAAATATCAGGGCCTGTATGCTGTGGGGAACTTCTTACCAAGTGACGACAATGTGTTTCACCCAAATTTTCACAGAGAACCTCTAAGGTCTTTGACAGACCTCAGTCAAGATGCCAACAGAATCCTGCCAGGTAAAAATGGCAGCAGCAGTGATGGCATTGTCTCCCACCGTACAGAAAGTATCCTGAATAGAAATCACAGAGATTCAGGGTCTCTGACTAATCTCAAGAGAGCAAATGCTGATGTAGAAATAATAACACCACGAAGCCCAATGGGAAAGGAAAACATGGTTACTTTCAGCAACACTTTGCCAAGAGTCAACACACCATCCTTGGAAGACCCAGCAAGACGAAATGCAACAATACACGCATCAATGGATTCTGCCCGTTCCAAACAGCTGCTTTCCCAGTGGAAGAACAAGAACGAAAGTCGAAAGTTGTCACTGCAAGTAATAGAGACTGAGTCTGGCCAGTCACCACCACGGGCTATTGAAATGAGGTCAAGCTCAGAACCCTCCAGAGTGGGTGTAAATGGTGATCATCATGGCCCAACTAGCCAATACCTGAAAATTCAACCCGGCAGTGTACCAGGTTGTAACAACTCGGGTCTTTCTGGTGGGCCAAGGGTCTCTATTCAGTCACGTCCTGGCTCATCCCAGCTAGTGCATATTCCTGAAGAGACTCAGGAGAACGTGAACACATCACCCAAAAGTAGTTCAGCTAGAGCTAAATGGCTGAAAGCTGCTGAGAAGAGTGTTGCATGTAGAAGCAATAGCCAGCCAAGAATCATGCAAGTAATAGCCATGTCTAAGCAGCAAGGAGTGCTTCAGGGCAGTCCAAAAAGTTCAGAGGGAAGCACAGTCACCTGTACAGGAGCCATCAGATATAAAACCTTGACAGACCACGAGCCAAGCAGCATTGTCAGAGTTGAGGCCCATCCAGAAAATAACAGACCTGTAATTCAGATGCCATCAGAAGGTGAAGGAAGTGGGTCATGGAAATGGAAAGGTCCTGAAAAAGTCACCCTTCGTCAGACATATGAGCTAAATGATCTCAACAGAGACTCTGAGAGCTGTGACTCCTTAAAAGACAGTTATGGGTCAGGTGACAGGAAAAGGAGCAACATAGATAACAGTGAGCATCATCATCATGGGATCACTACGATAAGAGTCACGCCAGTGGAGGGAAGTGAGATTGGCTCAGAGACTCTGTCCATTTCTTCCAGCCGGGACTCAACGCTTCGAAGAAAAGGTAACATCATTTTGATCCCTGAGAGAGGGAGCAGTCCAGAGAACACCAGAAATATCTTCTATAAAGGCACATCCCCCACACGAGCGTACAAAGAATGAGAGGAGACATATCAGCTGGTCCACACCACCACAAAGTAAATACATCTTGACACAGGTTCTGCTCTCTTTGTTTTGAGCTGGTATTTACCTTTGATGTGCCAAATTATTGACCAGCAGCCCAACTGTTGCTGAATACTGCTGATGTGCAACATGCATGAGCCTGTGGAAAGCATGTGGTGGGGGCAAAAGCACAATGCCAGAACCTAACTAATGTGAAACATTTTCATGCAGCTTGTTTCTTCAGACTGAAAATGTTTATCTGAGGGTGATGATGTTAACAATGGTTTTGAACACAGACACTTTATATCCTGAATGTGCCAACTTTTTATTTTATTTATATTTGTGTCCAAAATCGACTGAATTTTCCACAGCAAAGGCTGTATCAGTGATATATATTCACCTTTGCAGAATTTGCACCAAATCTTTAATACAGGATGGTGCTGATGATAACTTTACATGTTTTGAAAAATTGCATACTTATTAGACTCTACAAACACGACATATTGATGTGCAGTTACTTTAAAAGTAATATTGCTAATACTATAATGATGCTGGCTGCATTCATTTAGTGTAGGAAATATTTACAGCTTTGTTATAGTGGATCTGTCACATTCAAAGATTGCAAAAGTTTTGTGTAGTTCTTTAAGATGTCTACTGCAACAAAAAATGTGGGTGACATTCCATTAGAATGGAATAACTATTTTGAATAGTTTTGCTGCTACTGCTCAACTTTTGTTTAAGAACAGGTGCTACTAATGAAGAGGCTGCTTCTTAGTGGGCTAACTTGTAGAATTGTTTTAAATTACATTTTTAAGGGGTCTTTTAAAGTACTACAAGTAATTCAGATTTTACATTTTTAAACCTCTTATTCTGTCCTTCAGCAAGCCTTCCATTTTTCTGTTCATTTTTAACCATATAGTGCAGGACACCAATAACTGCAAGATGTGCACATGTGAAAGGTGAGCCAGGAATAAATAGTAAAAAAAAAAAAAAAACGGCCACTTTCCTGACCAGCTTTGAAGGAGACAGTAATTAACATCATATCTCATACTTAGAAGCAGTTACTCACCTCACTTGCTTAGCACACCACAAGAACAATGACAAGTTTCACCCCAGTCACCATAATTTAGGGGATTTATGCTTCACTTTAAAAATGGAATGCCTTGGTATTGCAGAATCACTGAATGAGTGTTGCATTATGCCACTATTACTGTTCACCTCCCTTGAGACACCCTCCAGAGCCTTCTTAAGCATTATATTTTTTCCAACCACTGCCACTTAAGAATATGGAGGGTCTCTGCACCTGAGAGAACACGGATTATTTTAGTAAATTGAGTTTCACATGTAACGAAAGAACTTGCCTGCTAAAAATCTCCATTGCCAAAAATTGTTGAAAGGATAAGGTCTGAAAGGAGTAAGCATAGCATGCCCTGGGCATGCTAGAAGAGATGCCTCATTAAATTTGGTTCTGACTGAAACAACTTAAACCATGAAGGAAGCCAGGAGCCGTGCTCACGTAGTGCAGCTCCTCATTCTCTCCTAGATAATTTCACCCAGAAGAGAAGTACTCCGAGACACCTGCCAGCACCCCTGCTAGGAGCAGGAGGGAATGGCATAGCAGTCCCCTCACTGAATGAGTAGTAGCAGATCACGTTCTGTTCTCTGGCTTCTTGAGAGGAGTGTTATGTTCTATGTCGTCTTCTGATACAGAGAGAACCAGATACATACTACATAGTCAGAACCTGTCTACGGACCCTACCCCACAGAACTCTGAAGAAAAGCCCAACCTACCCCAGCCAAGTAGGAGGCAGAAGGAAGAATCATCCCAATCCCGAGAAGATGAATAGCACAACATGCATACAGACCAAAAAAAAAAAAAAAAAAAAAAAAAGGAAAAAAAAAAAAACCCCAACAACAAAAAAACCTCAAAACCAAAACAAAATCCCAAACCTAACTCCAATCCTAAGTAATTCAGAAGTATGAAGATGGTGTTTGCTCATCTGTATAAAAGAAGGGTTTCAGAGTGAACAGAAAGCTTTATATACCTTCCCAGTTATACAGGTGCTCCGGGCTTAGCTGAGCGCTGTCAGCCAACCCTGTCAAGCAATGCTTCCCTCACCTGCCCATCACCCAACACTGTGGAAGAGTGTTGGTCCTTAAGAAAATGACCACACTTTTCCTGCTAGTAATAGAAAAAGACCCCATCATACATTTGATGATTGGGAGGAAGTATTCTGCGGGTTACATGTAAGCAGCTAACCAATTGGGTTGCGGCATATTGTGTATGTGAAAGGCACAGTATGTTGAAAACACACTTCAAGGCACATTATCTGGGAAAAATAATCATAGATGCCAGGGAAAAAAAATAATATTTTTTTTAGAAATATGCTCTCAGAGTCTAGTATTTACAAGTCAGGATTTGTTTTTTCTTTTTAAAAAGATGAATCTTTAGTCCGTGGTATTTAATATCAAATTTTGTACAAGGTTCCTAGGAATTACAAACACTTGGATTGTCATGAACAAAACCCTTTGGATTAGTTTAGTCTAGGTACATGATAAAGCAGGTAGGATTAGCTTTAAAGGAATGAGTAAGACACAATCACTGTTGGCCTATCAATGCAGGGAAATAAGATGCAATCATTTGTTAGTTTGTAAGTGCAGGGGAAAAGAACATAAGTAGATGAACCTGGAAATAATGGAAAATTGAAATGGAGAGTAATGGCAATAAAGCATAGATTAGAAAATGTTCCCTCTGGCAATTTAGCTGTTTAGGAAACAGCAGGATTCCTGGTGGGAGTGTTTGTTCTTTATTCCTTGGTTTTAGTCAGATATATATTGCCATATGTGTTGCTTTTATTACTCTAAAACTTGCTGCACTATTTCAAGTGCAGTGTGATATTTTTCCTAAGGTTTCCTATTTCTTAACAGAAGATTTTAAAGCTCTTGTGTAATCATTGAAATTGTGTTCTTTACATAAATATTGATATATTCTTTTTTACTCAAAGTGCCAAAGGCTACTGTTTTTAATAATGGCTTATCAAATTATATTACATTAGGAGCAGAAATGTAATAATATATACATTGGAACTCAGACCTCTGCATGTATATTTGATAAGGAGCCTTTTGTAAAATTACTCTTTGTTTACATTCCACTGATACCTTAATTTAAAATTAATCAAATAAATTGACAGGTGACATCTTCTTAGTGTTCTGATTTTCTTACTTGCTAACAGGCACGAATTTCTTTGTTAGGCTATGCTGTACTGAGAAAAGAAAATACTCAAAAATAAAAATATGTTTTTAAATGAGAATTCTCTATATAAAGTATTGTGTTTAATAAAATGTTATGCAATGTTTTCAAATGGAAAAGAATTTGTAAATTGCTATAAATGTATTTTGTTAAATAAGTACAGATCAATGCTACTGTGTGAGTTTATTGTGCTAACATCATGAAAATAAAGATAAAATTCCTCATTGATGTTCATTCATCTCTGTGGTGAAGCAAAGTCTCCTTCCCCCCAAATTATTTTTCAATATTACGTATCTCATGATAGGTAAAAGCAGTCATCAGTGGGAAACCTCAGAACCTTGCATAGTTGTAAGGAGTTATGAGGAACAGTGTCCCAACAGGCTTGTCTCTATCCAACATACGTTGTACAGAAAAAGAAAGCAAGTGAACTGGGAACTTCAGGCTGTATGAGGACATGTCTGCTAGGTCATTCTGCAGGACCACCTGCATTGCTAAGCCCCCAGTGCCTCTAACCCACTTAGTGTTGGGTAGAGCTGCTGGACACTCTGAGGCCCCCCCATGGATTTGTGAATGAGAACGGGGCAGACGTCAGGAGCAAACCTGAGAGGACGGGCTCTCCCTGGGGGAAGAAGTTGTTAGGATGCAGGAATCATGAGGTGACATACACCCTTTGCTGGCAACAGTGAAAAACATTACGTGTAACAGCATGCTGTCAAAAACACTGTCCTATCTAGAAGCCACACAAGGTATGTAACAGCAAACACTGTCTCCAAGCCCATCCTGAAACACCCTGGCACAGGGCAACAAGCAGGGCCCTAAGTGCCTGGGATGGCAGACACTGCTGTAGCTGAGGCATGCACAGACCTTGGCCAATGGCATACTAAGGACCACAGGGACTAGCAGGTCCTGCCCTCTAGGACACATATTGGTAGCCTGGGAAAGCTACGGGCAGTGATGGCTCAGGTATCGCTCAGAGAGGTCCTGGGAAGGAATGCAAGAGAGTAAAACAGATCCTGCTATGGTATGGCTGCTGAAAGCTGGTGTCTAATACAAATCTGATGAGTTCTCCTTTGGGGATGGCCCCTTCCATCAACTACAAAGGGGCCTAGACAATTAGTTCAAACATTTTAAAAGGCATATATTAAACATCTAAAGTTAGTCTAGAAGTGAAGTCCCCCTCTGAAGGGTACCTTTGACGTAGAGGTTATGTTATAAAACTTGATCTAAGATGAGAAGTTACCTCTACTGACAAACATTGTCTTATTCTCTTAGACCATTCTGCCTACAGCAACACTGCCACTAAATTAAGAGAGTTTGCTGTGATCCAGATTGATGACTGTATCTGATTATGCAAAGGAGTTTTCAAAGGTATGAGTGATTAAAATAAGGCTTAAATCTATTTTGTGCTGGGTTTTAAAAGAGCTTCAGAGTTCTTGATATAACAAGCCACATAAGATTGTAATGAAATAAGTTTGGTAGAAATTTATGAAGACTTTTTATATGACAGATTAGTGCACAGCTAATTTGGCAGGAACATTTTAAAGGACTTACAACCCTAGTTCATATAATTGTGAATAAAATCTTTTCACAAATCTTACAGCACAGAATGTATCGAGCAGGACAAAATTAACAAGTGTGTCTGTACTGCACACTCAAAATGAAAGTAAGGCAACTCCAGCTGCATACATGTGCATATGCATGCACACGTAACACAAAGCTAACAAGTTCAAGCCAGGCTTCAGAAAGAGAA